TTCAGGGTTTAGGGTTCAGGGTTTGGTGTTTAGGGTTCAGAGTTCAGGGTTTAGGGTTTAGGATTCAGGGTTTAGGGTTTAAGGTTTAGGGGGTTTAGGGTCTTCGGCCTAAGCCCAGCACAGTAACCCTGATGAGAGAAACCCTCCAAGGGAGCCCTCGGTCCCTCCTAAGCCCCCCCTCAAACCCCTCAAACCCCTCAAACCCCCTAATACCCCTAAGCCCCTATAAACCCTAAGCCCCTAAACCCCTAAACCCTTAAAACCCTAAGCCCTAAACCCCAAAACCCCCAAACGCCTACGCCCTAAACCCCCACAGCCCCCCTGATCCCTGTTTGCAGGCTTCCCTCTGGGGCTCGGTGGACGTCAATGCTGCCGCTCGACGAAGCTCCAATTTAGTGTTCAGGGTTTTAAGATTTCGGATTCGGGTTTAGTGGTTCGGGTTTCGGGATTAGGGCTTCGGGATGAGGGTTTAGGGATTAGGGTTTAAAGATTTCGGATTCGGGTTTAGGGGTAGACCCGTTTCCCCGTACTGAAGCAACATACCTAAACCTGTGAGGGGCTTCATGTTGAGAGTTTAGGGTTTAGGGTGTCGTGGTTTAAGGTATAGTCCGTGTCAAGTGCCCTCTAAAGCCCTCATAGCACCAGATACAAGCCCTCATGAAATCCCATAGCTCCTTAAGAAGCGCAAGCAAATCTTCCACTTAGGGATTGGCCGATCTGGGAACCGAAAAAGTTGTAATAGTGTTCCTTAGAGCCCTAGGGTGCTTCACTACAACCATACTCTCTCTCTCTCTCTCTCTCTCTCTCTCTCTCTGCATATATCATTACACACACACACACACGCCCGAAAGCTCTGTTTGATTGTTAACGCCCTTGTCTTGCAGCCTTAGCATATCTTGCAGAGATCCCTTTTTGCAGGAACCCTTGCATGAACCTTTACAGGAAGCCTCCCTATTTTGAGGGAAACTACAGGTGGAGTTTAGGGTATATAGGGCTTATAAGGCTTCTACAAAGTTTTTAGACCTTCTATAAGGCTCCTTTAACGGTAGCTACCCACCTGAAAATGTCCTAGACTATTCTACCTAGTAGTTGTTAAGGTTCTTTCCTCAGTTCACGGAACACCTCTCAAAGACCTCAAATGTCCGAGAAAACCTTAAGCCCGAAGCCCTAAACCCTAAACCCTTAACCCCTAAACCTTAAACCTTAAACCCTAAACCCTAAGCCCTCAACCCTAAACCTTAAACCCTAAACCCCTAATAAGCACCAGGTCGAGGAGGAGGGAAGCCTTGGCTGCGGCGGGGAGGACCAGTCATACGGTGGATGCTATAAATCCCGCATTACCCATAATAAGGAATATACCAGAATTCCCATAGTTCAGGGTCCTTAAGGCCTCAAGGCAATGCAGGAT